TGTTCACATAAATTATTATAAATTCATTAAATATTCAATAATGCGAAAAAGTCAAGCTTAATGTCTTATGATATCTGAATTGTATGTCATACAGTTCAGGACATTATTTATTGAACAGCCCTCGTATTTACACTTTTCTGCTATTATAATTTTAATTCACTATAGTGATGACATTATTAAATTACGGATTTTTTTTGTATAAAATTGTAATTACTGTATAATTTGTGTAAATGCTATGCTTTGGGATCAATAGGCCACATTTGAAGTTTGTAGATATGAATGTTGAAGATGTCTTCGCTTTAGATTCTGTAGATCATAGTCTCTGTAATATTGTGGAAACTGTACTAAAATTGTAGATGCCTTCGGTTTGGGATCTATAGATCCCAGTTTCTGTAAGTCTATAATTTCTGTACAAATATTGTAGGTGTCTACGCTTTGGGATCTATAGATCACAGTCTGATCCCAGCCTCTGTAAGATTGCGGTTACTGTACGAAAGTTGTAGGTGCCTTCGCTTTGAAATCTATAGATCCCAGTTTCTGTCAGTATATGGTTACTGTTCAAATATTGTAGGTGCCTACGCTTTTGGGATCTATAGATCCCAGTCTTATGATATTGTGGTTACTGTACGAATGTTGTAGGTGCCTATGCTTTGGGATCTATAGACCCCAGTCTATATAAAATTGTGGATGAGGATGATGATTATGAAATCCCTTTGGATCATATCGGGAGAGTTTGGTTTGCTGTGGAGTATGAAAGAGAGACAGAAAAACTGCTGGTGACACTCATGAAGGCAAAGAACCTGCCGACGCGACAATATGGCAACAACAGCAGTTGTGACCCATTCATCAGGTAAGACCTAAAATATATACTAATAGTGATATACAGTGCATAGTGTACAGGAACGAGTTGTGCCAGAGGTATACAGTACCAGGTTGTACCACTTGTGTATAGTGACAGGTATACCATAAATATAATTATGTTACGAAGTTTTTAGTCGTAAAGGAATCTCTGAATAGTTTTCATTTATTTGGTTTTTTAAGGGGGGATCCTGTTTTCTCTGTTCTCGGTTTGTTTAATGTCAATGGACGTTTGATTATACCCGCACTTTCTAAAGAAAGTTCGGGTATATTGTTGTTACTCATGTCCGTCCGTCCGTCCGTCTGTCACACTTTTCTTCCCTGAACTCCTCCTACATTTTACACAGTAGCTTAATCATCTTTTGGGAGATGGTTGGTGGTGTCATGTAGATGTGCAGTAAAGTTTCGGAATTATGATTTTGCCCCGGGGCGTCAAACGGGGGTCGAAAAATGACGTTTTTTGTGCAAAAAGTCCCGTCTTCCCTGAACTCCTTCTACATTTTACTCAGCAGCCTAATCACCTTTTGGGGGATGATTGGTGGTGTCATGTAGATGTGCAGTAAGGTTTCGGAATTTTGATTTTGCCCCAGGGGGTCAAATGGGGGTCGAAAAATGACGTTTTTTATGCAAAAAGCCCCATCTTCCCTGAACTCCTCTTACATTTTACTCAGCAGCCTAATCATCTTTTGGGGGATGATTGGTGGTGTCATGTAGATGTGCAGTAAGGTTTCTGAATTTTGATTTTGTCCCAGGGGGTCAAATGGGGGTCAAAAAATGATGTTTTTTATGCAAAAAGCCCCGTCTTCCCTGAACTCCTTCTACATTTTACACAGTAGCCTAATGATCTTTTGGGAGATGGTTGGTTGTGTCAGGTAGATGTGCAGTAAGGTTTCGGAATTTTGATTTTGCCCCGGGGGGTCAAATGGGGGTCGAAAAATAACGTTTTTTATACAAAAAGCCCCATTTTCCCTCAACTCCTCTTACATTTTACTCAGCAGCCTAATCGTCTTTTGGGAGATGGTTGGTGGGGTCATGTAGATGTGCAGTAAGGTTTTGGAATTTAGATTTTGCCCTGGGGGTCAAATGGGGGTTGAAAAATGGTGTTTTTATGTTAAAAGCCCAGTCTTATCTGAACTCCTCTTACATTTTACTCAGCAGCCTAATCACCTTTTGGGAGATGGTTGGTGGTGTCATGTAAATGTGCAGTAAGGTTTCTGAATTTTGATTTTGCCCCAGGGGTTTAAATGGGGGTCAAAAAATGACGTTTTTTATGCAAAAAGCCCCGTCTTCCCTGAACTTCTCCTACATTTTACACAGTAGCCTAATCATCTTTTGGGAGATGGTTGGTGGTGTCAGGTAGATGTGCAGTAAGGTTTTGGAATTTAGATTTTGCCCCGGGGGGTCAAATGTGGGTCGAAAAATGACGTTTTTTGTGCAAAAAGCCCTGTCTTCCCTGAAGTCTTCCTTAATGTTCCTCAGAAGCCTAATCATCTTTTAGGAGAGTTAAATATTTTGAAAATTATGTAAAACATCAACGTCAAGGGGTAAAAAAGCATCACATGCTGGGAAACGCCTTGAATTCTTATGAGTAATTAATGTACATGTCAAATGTGAGAGTCATATCTCATCTCAATCAAAAGTTATAAGCAAATGCAACATTTTTGAAAAGTAGGTTAGGCTTGACAGCTTCAAGGTCAAGGTCACAGAGTAAAAGTCATGATTTATTTGGAAAGGTCTTATCACAGGTAATAATATACATGCATTATGATATGAATGCCCTAACTTTTCTCTTTCAAAATGATGAATTTATAACTACACCTGTATTTAATTTTTTTGCAAGTAGGTCAAACTTCTAGGTCACAAGTTAAAAAAAAAACCCATGCCATTCTCACAGGTAAATACTAATACATAAGTTTAATATGAATGTCTCTTCTCATTCAGTAGATATGACCGTGATGACCAAGGTTAAATTTATTGAGACAGATGGACAGTCTGACATACAAATGTACATATTTCTATATGAATTGGGTAAAATTGGCCCAGTGGTTCTAGAGAAGTTAAAAATGTAAAAAGTTTTCAGACAAACAGATGGACGATACGTCACGACAGACGTTATATGCTAAAGAAACCAGAAAAGCTCAAATGAGTGTTTTGAAAGGGTTACAATATGGTTGCAGTATTTGAAAAGCTGTTTTTTTCATGCAGAGATATGCATGACCAACATTTTCATGTTTTATATTTTCTTTAGTAATTTGTTTGTTTGTTGTGAATACATCTCTCTTGGGAATTTTTCCCTCATATGGTGACACCACCAAATAATAATGAAGACAAAATGTGTTTGTGAAACACTGATGTCCCTGTATGGAAGCCTATGGCGAAGGTTGAAGTTTCTCAAATATATGTCAAACTCAAAGGTCAAGGTCAAAGGGTTCAAATTGTTAGTATCAGAAGAAAGTCTTGTCACAAGGAATGCACATGTGAAATAAAGAAATCCCTAGTAATTCCTGTTCAAAAGTTAATTGCCAAGGTTATTTTTTTTAAGTGGTTCAAACTCTAGGGTCAAGGTCAAACATATTTATACCTGTTGACAGTTCACAATGAATACACATGTTAAGCATTAAAGCCCTAGCACCTACTGATCAAAATTTAGGCCAAGTTTAAAGTTTGGTATTTTTCTTGTAAAAATGTGTATGCTAGGTCAAGCGATCAGAGGTAAAAATTAATGGTACCCAAATAAAAGGTCTTAATTGTCACAAGAAATAAACCTATAAAATGTGGAAGCCATTTGTATAGCCCATCCCACTTAAAACTTATGGGCAAGGTTATAATTTAGACAGACATAATATAAACACAAGAAACAAAATATGTATAATTAGTCAAATGGAAAAAAATATACTATTTAATTGGAATCACAAAATAGATTGTTATTTCAGGGACAGGGAGTGGGTAGGGAGATTGGAATCCCCCCATCCCCCCCCCTGGAATTTGCTTTGTTATTTAAACAAGACTATATACTGAAGCAAATAAAAAATGACTTTGGACATCCTCCCCCTAACTTAGAAAACATTGACCACACTATCATTGTTTTTATTTTGTTTATTTGTTTTCAGTTTTTTTTTCTCCTGCTTGTCAGGAAATTCTGGGCTGGAATTTTTTGACTGAGATGTGAACCCCCCTCCCTACTCCTGAAAAAAAATTCTGGATCCGCACCAGTATTGGCAGTAACTGAATGTCAAATCGACAACGGGAGATAACTTCACAATATGAAATTCGTCTAGTGTGGCATGCGATGATCTTTGACCCTTTTTGAACTTTAACCTAATCGTTTGGGTTTATTTTACCCCCCACTATACTTAAACTTGTACTTACCAACTGCCATAGGTCTCGTCAACTTCATGAAATATAAATCCAATTATAACACAAAATAAATTAATCCAATGCACACCAGACTGCAGCCATGTGCTAATTCCATTTGGCACACCTCGGCCGATTCCGTCACCTAATCAGATGAAGTGGGAATCGGCCGAGGTGTGCCAAATGGTGTTTAATCTAAAAATATGATAATGGGTGACGCAACGTGATGTGATGTAGAAATTTACATGTTAACATGTATAGTACAAACAAATTTTAAATTAATTCATAAAACGATGTTTTAACAAAACTTTTCCATCTAGCCTATTCCAAAAAGTATGTGCTGTGTGATTGTAGAGTCGAGGGGGGGGGATTAGTAAATTTAAAAAGGTCCTATTATGAGCAAAACATTTATCAAAATCTAATTTACATCATTAATAGAATTCAAACTGGTATATAATGAATTAAGCATGTAAAATAAATATAAGAGGTTCTGAGTTATAGGTCACAGAGTCTGAGAATTTCATACTCAATTTGATGAATACATGTAAATTATAGAATTATTTTGACTTTTTCCTTGGAAAGCCGCCCAATATGTAGGAGCGTGTATTTGGAGGCAAACACCTTAGTGCGGGTATTACTGTCTCATGACAGCATCTAGTTCTGTTTGTTTTTTCATATTTCTTTTTCCAGCCAAGCTTTTGAGTTGCATGATGATGAAACCTTGTTGTTGAATATTCGTTATCTCCTAAAGCAATATTAAGCTTCCTATTCTTTTGGAAGATACGGTAATACATGCTGGGCCATATTTAAAACTATGTACTTATGCAGTGATGCCGATTAAAGTAGTCCATGTAGAGTTTGTAATGATCTCCTTCCCAGAGAGCTCAGAGTCTTGTGAAGAAGATATTGATATCAGGCTTCCTGAATGATTTCTCTGAGACTAAACAGATGGTCCTTTTCTCTTTATAAAAGTATAGCAAACAAAAGGTAAAACATATCTGAAAAATGTCAAACATATTAAATACCTTTTTTCTACTCATTATTTGAATTATTAGAGCATTATTTGCGCGTGTTTACTTTGGGAATGTTTAAATGAAGATCAAATCTTACTTGATTTTTGAAATCGCAGAACCAGTGTGTGTCTTAATGGTTTTATGATTGTTTATTGCTATAAACAGATCACCATTAATTAAACGTTCAGAATAAAGATTGTTTTCTTTTCTGAGTCTAGGCTCTTTTTCATAATTCTGTTTAAATAAAAACAGTGTTTTAAAAAATATGAATGAATTTCAAAAACTGACATGAAATAAAGATAGAACATTGAGAAAAGATATGAAGAAGCATTGTATCGTTATATAAAAAAGAAGTAGTCGCACTAGAAAATGAAAATCAATGTGGAGATTCTTAATAATTCTGAATGACGAGACATAAACTACTGATAAAGCTGTATATTTCATGTTTGACGGTGAGAGGTTACACAATTCCTGTAGACGTCGGGTTTTATTTGCCGTCTTCTTTTTATTCCGTTGTAAATCTAGTCGTTCAATAGCAGTATCGACTTATAAGGACTGATTTATTATAAAGGTCACACACTCACAGTATTGACTTATAAGGACTGATTTATATGAAGGTCACACACTCACAGTATCGACTTATAAGAACTGATTTATACGAAGGTCACACACTCACAGTATCGACTTATAAGGACTGATTTATATGAAGGTCACACACTCACAGTATCGACTTATAAGGACTGATTTATATGAAGGTCACACACTCACGGTATCGACTTATAAGAACTGATTTAAATAAAGGTCACACACTCACGGTATCGACTTATAAGGACTGATTTTTATGAAGGTCACACACTCACAGTATTGACCTATAAGGACTGATTTATATGAAGGTCACACACTCACGGTATCGACTTATAAGGACTGATTTATATGAAGGTCACACACTCACGGTATCGACTTATAAGGACTGATTTATATGAAGGTCACACACTCACGGTATCGACTTATAAGGACTGATTTATATGAAGGTCACACACTCACGGTATCGACTTATAAGGACTGATCTAAATAAAGGTCACACACTTACGGTATCGACTTATAAGGACTGATTTTTATGAAGGTCACACACTCACGGTATTGACTTATAAGGACTGATTCAAATAATGGTCACACACTCAGTATCGATTTAAAAGGATTGATTAAAATAAAGGTCACATACTCACAGTATCGACTTATAAGGACTGGTCACACACTCACAGTATCGACTTATAAGGACCGATTATATGAAGGTCACACACTACGGTATCGACTTATAAGGACTGATTTATATAAAGGTCACGCACTCACAGTATTGACTTATAAGGACTGATTTATATAAAGGTCACGCACTCACAGTATCGACTTATAAGGACTGATTTATATAAAGGTCACACACTCACAGTATCGACTTATAAGGACTGATTACATGAAGGTCACACACTACGGTATCGACTTATAAGGACTGATTTAAATAAAGGACACACACTCACAGTATCGACTTATAAGAACTGATTTATATGAAGGTCACACACTCACAGTATCGACTTATAAGGACTGATTTATATGAAGATCACACACTCACAGTATCGACTTATAAGAACTGATTTATACGAAGGTCACACACTCACAGTATCGACTTATAAGAACTGATTTAAATGAAGGTCACACACTCACGGTATCGACTTATAAGGACTGATTTAAATAAAGGTCACACATTCACAATACATGTATAGACTTAAAAGGACTGATTAAAATAAAGGTCACACACTCACAGTATCGACTTATAAAGACTGATTTATATAAAGGTCACACACTCACAGTATCGACTTATAAGGACTGATTTATATGAAGGTCACACACTCACAGTATCGACCTATAAGGACTGATTTATATGAAGGTCACACACTCACAGTATTGACTAATAAGGACTGATTTGTATGAAGGTCACATACTCACAGTATCGACTTATATGGACTGATTAAAATAAAGGTCACACACTCACAGTATCGACTTAAAACGTTTGATTAAAAAAAAAGGTCACACACTCACAGTATCGACTTATAAGGACTACTTTATATGAACTTTACACACTTAAAGTATCGATTTATAAGGAATGATTTATATGAAGGCCACATACTCACAGTATCGACTTATAATGACTGATTTATATGAAGGTCACACACACACAGTATCGACTTATAAGGAGTGATTTATATGAAGGTATGGATTTACTGCTTTTGTCACTTGTTTTTAGCAGAAAACTGTCTATATTTTTTATGAAAATGAATTCATGTGTTGCTCAATATGTTGCAGTATAATAATTATATGAATATCTATCCTTTACACTACTTTTCCGGGTTGACTTTTATAATAATTATAAAAGGTTTATTTAAGGTTTCTCTGTAACATTATATGTGTTTTCAGCTCTTTGTACTGGTCTATAGCAGTTGGAAAAGTGAGAATAGTCTGTTTTCTAAAAATAAATGTAGAATTTATTTTTTTGTGTGATATTCCATAAACTATGGTAATTAGTAATCTGCTTCGCCCTTCTTCTATACTGGAAACTATGTATTTCTTTTTGTCGGGGATAAGATAAGAGAGCCTCTTAACGAGTTTGATCCTGATATTTAAAGTCTTAAACTTTTTTTGCCAAGTGTATTTTTAGTTTCTATATACATAGCTTAATTAAAATTCAAATCAAAAAATGGGGGTCAATACGCTTCTTTTGGCGCTACAGTACATTTAATATGACCTTTTTGCACTAAAATTTGTGCCTTAATTAAAAATTAAATTTTTGACGTTTTCCTTCCAATATTTTTATCCAATTAAAGCATGAAACAAAATGAACTCTAAGTTTGTTTATAAAAAGACACTTAAAAATTGTGAATAAGAAAAGTTTCAAATTGCTTCGCATAATCAATTATTTGACCTTTCTGCACTGATAAAAAGTGATTTTTCTGGCATTGAAGATTTAATAAGCAAGAAAATTACTTTAAAGTCTTAAACTTTTTCCTGATTTTAAGCAAATAGGTCAAATTTATCTTGAATATTTAGAAAAGAACATCAAAAGTGGGGGTATATTGTGTAAATGTTTAGATATTACTAAAAAAGTGTCAATTTTACGTTAAAATTGGCTCAATTTTTTCCCGGATTTTTAGAATATATTTACTGTATTTGTCACACTTTGTTATAGAATTCATAAGAAATAATTAAATAGATATTTCAGAACCAGCATAACACATTTCACTGCAAAAAACAGTTTTGTGTGCAACCAGTGTGGAAAAATAGGAATCCAAAATTAACAGTACTGTTATAGTTCAAATTGGAAAAACTGGTCAATTTCGTCTAAAAGCCTTCCGCCACAAAATATAGTCCCTAGCTTAATTTTACTTGAATGGAATGTAATCGCGGTTTTTTCATTGAATATAGTTAAATTTGCACGGTAGATTTCAAATTTTAATGTTAGAACTTAAAAATGATGCAGAATTTTATAAATAAAGGACCTGACCAAAATACGCTCAAAATCTCAGGATCGAACGTCCTTAAGATCAGTTTATGAAAAAAGGCGTATCACAGAAAGGCCTAAGAAAGCAAAAAAGGCGTAATAACGCGAAGACAGGGGCGAAATAAGGCAAAAAAAGACTTACGTTAAGGTAATAACTTAAAAATAAAATACGTAACAACGCATAAAATAAGTTATTTCAACTTTACAAAAGTAGTTCTGATGACTGTAATTAAAAAAAACCGTTTACCTGGTTTTTGAAAAGGTACATTTGAGCAAAGTAAAAGGCGTTCTGAAAAAGCTTCTGCATATATCTATAATTCATAATTTAATATAACTTAAACAAGAAAATTTTATATTGTATCTATAAAATTTACAGGAATGTAAAACTGATTTTGAAATAAACTGAGATGATTTCGATCCAAATCATGATATACTTTTCACTATAATGTAAAATCAGCTTTTCGCTTCGCTTAATGACGTTGTTTGTTCGCTATTACCCTATTTTTACTTAATAACGCCTTTTTAGGTGACAATATCACGCCTTTTCGGTTGACAATATAACGCCTTTTCAGTTGACGATAGTACGCCTCTTCAGTTGACGATATTACGCCTTTTTTGCGTCAATCAGATTTGTGTTATGCATTTTTACGCCTTATTTATTAATCCTTAACGAGATTATTTTTCATTTCAACTCATTGCAGATTGTATTTAATGCCTGATGAACGTCGATATTTACAGTCTAAATTCAAAAAGAAGACATGCAACCCAAAGTTCGAAGAGAGCTTTGTTTTTCAGGTAATGAAACTCAATTAAATCTTTTTATCCTGACAAAAAAGCAAAATGAAGAATTTTTATATTATTTTTGATGAACTTAATTAGTTAATGCAAATAACAAAATAACAAAAAAGTGTGTACATTGCAAACTCTGAGCGTTGTTTTGAAAAGCTATAATATTTCGATATTAATACTTAGTTCTATTGTATCTATGGGTCAACAATGTTAATATATTTGTACTTCTGTATTTTTGCAACCCGGAGGACCGGGCTGCTCTACAGATACATATAAGTTTAAGTTTTGGTGTATGAGGATTGAGATGGGAGAGGTTATTCGGAATTAAAGGTTATCAAACATTAAAAAGATAATAATAAATCAGAATGTTCTTTGCCTTCCTTAATTACGAGATACACAAATATTTACTTCATAAAGTGAATCTTTAAATATATATATTGTTTTCATATTTGGTATATGAAGTTGCTTAATAAATCATTTACTATCAAAAAACGACGGATGTCTTTTTTTGTAGAACATCGAATTTTACTTATCGCATAAAAACCTACGTCACACAGTTCGTGTTTTATATTCATTATATGTGAATTGTATTTTTTTATGACATTTACTTGAAGAATTGATAAAGTTTAAAAGGGTATTGTGTTTGTTCTATTTTCATCCGACTATAAGTTTTCAAAAACTTCTCTACTATCGTTTCCATTATACGGACGCATGTCTTTATCAGGCATATCGAAGCGGTTTGATGATCAAGACGCATTCTTATTGTTGACTTCATTTATTTGCCGGGCGGCCATTGATGCTTACTAGTTGTTTATGATTGATGCTGCACTACTGCATTAGGGGTGGTTAATTTTGCTTTACTATATTATGCTAAAGTGCTAAAATTTTGTCAAACAGTGTAAATCAGCCCCCCAAAAAGTAGTAAAATTTCAACCACTTTACAATTTAATTCTGCAATATCAGCCACCTCAAAGATACAGAAGTACAATGTAAACCCAGGTTGATATTGTACAACCATATTTGGCATAGTTGATATTGTACTATGATATTTTAGGGTGGTTGATATTTAACTTCTGTATTTTGGGGTGGTTGATGTTGGACGCTTATATTTGGGGGTAGTAGATATTGCATTACCGTATTTGTTTTGATTTTGGTTAGTATAACAACTTAACTTTATCTACTGACAGGTGTCCTATAGGTCGCTCCAGGACCGGGTGTTGAAAATGACTGTTTATGACGTCGACCGTCACAGACGTCATAATGTCATAGGTCACGCTCTTTACCCTCTCAAAGACCATGACGCAGAAAGCAATGAGCGCCTTGTTATATGGAGGGACCTCGAAAGGGAGGTCACTGAGGTACGAAGTAAGCAAATAAAATCATAATGATTATCGGGCTTATCGTTGAAAGATAAATTCTATAAAGATATAGGTGTAACGAACAGTATTTAATATCAAAGTCCATAAAACAATACAAAATAGGAGCAGTGCAAAACGGACCTCCAAAACATCAGAGGTGGGATCAGGTGCCATGGAGGAGTGAGCATCCCCTGCCGACCGGTCACATCCCCTGTGTGCTCCATGTCATGTATAAATAATGAACTAACAATTAGTATGAAAAACGTCAGTTAGCATTTGACCCAAGGATAAATTGTATTTGCTGACAAGATCATGTTTTTATTTTTAATATCTTACTGAAAGGCAGTTAAAGATTTTTAGCTATTGATGCAAACTGCTTATCAATTTTGATGTTTTATAGACGACAGCCGACAAGGGGGAGTTGCTTGTAGCCCTTTGCTACAATAACCACCTAGAGCGTCTAACGGTGGGGGTGTTAGAAGCCCGGGACCTTAAATACGACAGCCAACCCAGTGGTGAGTAAAATTAAGACGTCTTATACCGCATAATGCAGAGGTCGATAAATATATAAAAATGAAATGAAATATATGGAGATAGCAAACGGTATTCAAGTTCAAAAGCTTTTTAAACAATACAAATTAGGAGCAGAGCAAACACTGACCTCTAAAACATCAGTGTCGGGATCAGCTGTTATGGAGCAAACAACCTTTTTTTGACAGGTCACACCCGCCGAGTACTCCTAATCATGATCTGGAACTTACGGGGAAATCTCTCAACAAATCTTTGTGTAAATAATGGTGTAACAATTAGTATGCAAAGAGTCTGTCAGCATTTGACTGAATGATAGACTGTGTCAGCTGTAAAAGGTCATTCTTCAATAAATCAACCAAAGAACTTTGGAAATTATGGCCTTGAACGAGACTGCTGATATTCTTGTTTCATCAACTTGTTAGTAAATAACTAATTTCAGTTAAGAAACTGTTCATACGTAGAACATGCTCTTCCATATCGAATCAACTGAGAAATGTAAGCACCCGTAACCCGTATGTAGGTGATAAAGGTATATTGCTACATGCTAAAGGGAAGTTGATGATTGAAAATTAAGTCATCACCTTTATCATAGAGCTTGGTTGTTAGATTACGATAAATGTCTTTTTCAAGTAAAATATCCAAATATGAAACAGATGTGTCAGACTCTGTAGTGTCTTTTATTTCAGACAAGTTCACCGGGATATATCTTATCGAGTAAGAGTAGGAGTTTGATGGCTTGTTTTACGCCCAAGAATTTCTATGCCTTTTTATAAAAGGACGTCACAAATTGTTGTTGAAAGATGCACATTGGGATCTGTATTTTGCAATAAGGCCATTGAGCAGTGAAACGCTCTCATTTCTGATATTTTTAGGTCCATCACAATAAGCATTGTTGGTGGGTTTCCGAGCTTCAATGGTTACTGTTTTCTATTTCCATGTTTCATTTTCGCGCTAGCAACTTTCTGCGACATGGAATTTTTCCGTTCATATATGTAGCCGTCCTTCTGTCCCGTAGGAGATTCAAACCCACAAAGTAAGGATCAATATCTAACTTTGCTAATTTAACCATTACGCTACATGAGCAAGGAATCGAGTTAGAATGAAATGGGATGTTTAGATTTCTAGTAAATAAGACAATTATTTCCCGACTTATGAAATTGATGGTGAATGAAAGCAAGATCCGAGCTTAAAAGTCACGAAGTTATAAGTAATCTATAGTCCATCAAATACTGGGTTAGGGATATTATCTGATAGACAATAAGATCAAAAGAGGAACAGAAGCACCACTGTCGATCGGTGTTACGTAATTCAGGATTAACATGGGAACTTGGCCACTGAGGCTGCGTGTTTAGAAAAGTTTCACAAGAGCTTATTGAATTTTTGGTTTCCGCTCTTCCAGATATTGAATTAGATATATATTAAAAATTGTTATGATTAACATTGCAGACTGAATGAAAAACTTGATTGGAATGTAAGGTTATTTTTAAGTGTAGAGAGATGCACGAATATTCGTGATAGGGCTGACCTCTACGATAAACTGGGTTGGGGAATCTGAAAATCCTGCAAGTCCGACGACGGGTCTATACCACATGTGCACAAAGTTCGCGTCAGTAGATGTTCCAAAATTAAAAAGACCGCTAATGTAGACTTAAAACAATTCTTATAGCTGTGTACATTAACAAAATTTGCATTACGAAATTCGTTTAAACACCTCTATAAAAAGTAAGACGTTACATGATTTTTGAAAGTCCATTTTAAGTCGGCTATGTTTATTTCTCGTTTTGTAGATACGTATGTTAAAGTCAGTGTTCTAGTCCAAAATAAAGTGGTGAAAACAAAGAAAACGGAAGTACTGAAGAAGACAGACTCTCCTAATTATAACGAATCCTTCACATTCAAACTTCCTGTTGCAAGTCTTGACGCTGCTAGCCTAAGTCTAACCATCATGCAGCATTCCAGTGGACATAAAGGTTAGTCACGTGGATATCTACTTCCGGGGTCTGAACCCCGACTGTTTTGTTGGTATTTTAATTTCTTTACGATTCAGAATCATAATTATATGATCATTTCAATATCAGCTGAGCCAAAGGTCTTGGTGCACTCTTTTATAGTTTGTCTAAAGTATGTCGATTGTACACTTTTCGCATCTCGATTTTTTCTTCAGAACTAATGGACTAAAGGAATTCTAATTTATTCAAATGAAGGGCTGTAGTTCCTTTTCAAAGGAAATGTATCAAAATTTTACAAGGACTACATTGTTTTTTGTTTTAAAAGATATTCATTCATTCATGTATTCCTCAATGACAACAAAGGCATTATTAGTTTTATTGACATGTAAGATTCTTAGATAATTCCCAAATCCTGAAAATTAGGAAAACCTCAATAAGAAACGTTAGAAGTACTCAGGAAATGTATGATTTCTTTAAAATATTGAAGAATAGTTTAAGGTTCTATTACTTTAGATAGAAACCCTTAGGCATGAGCGAGATGGAAATAGAATTATAATTTATGTAAAAAAGCATACAAACATTCGACCAAATTATTTGTCCAGAACAGTAAGCCCAATCACCCATAAAGTCTGAAAATACCCATGTTGTGTGGATTCACATTAGGTTAGTCCCTACCCCTTGTTGGGAAATTGGAGCCACGATATGAGGTCCAGTCGGGAAACGGCAAAATATATAAGAACACAAAACTCCAATGAAATTTTAAGACATACCGGGTATACATTTAGTAAAGCAGATAAATTATGAGCATCGAGGCTCGTTGGCCTTCTGGTAAATGTGTTCTTTCTTCACTGTTCTCCGAGGTGTGAAACACCTTTTAAACAAATTTTATGATCTATGGTGAATTAGGTAGAGTACCTTTAAGTATACATATCAAAACAAGAATTATTGCATACTGGTCAAAAATTTTATATGGAAAACAATCAAAATATTGTTTTTTAATGTATAAATTACTTCGTGCAAAATTTGATAATGGACATGAATCTAAATGGTTAAAGAATTTGAAATCAATTTTAGACAATTGTGGTTATAGTAATATTTGGAACCAGAATCAATTATTTAATAGAAATTGGCTTATTAAAAGTTTGAAACAAAAATTACTAGATCAGTTTCAACAAAATTGGAATTCAACCTGTAAAGATTCTTCAAAAGGTGTGACATATAATCTATTTGCAAATTTACACTTTGGATGTCAATTTTATGTAGATAGCATGTTAAATAATTATAAGAAACAAATTTTAGCTAGATTTAGAACAGCAAACCGTAAATTACCCATTGAAACAGGAAGATGGGAAGGTATTGAAAGAATTAATAGAATAGGTCTTTTATGTAAAAATGATCTTGGTGATGAATTCCACTATATTTTATGTTGTGAAAAATTAAAAGATGAAAGAAAATTGTACATTCCGAAATATTATTTTACAAGACCAAATATTATCAAATTTAATGAATTGTTTTCTTCAAAAAATGTTGGACTATTGAGTAAACTCTGTTCTTTTATTAAAATTTTAAACGAGAGAGTCAAACCTCCAGGTTAACATCAATGTAAACATATATGGAAATATTTGATTATAAGCACACTTTGTATATATGTTATATGTCATGCTCACGCATGTATGTATATATGTTATAATAATATGTATTGATCTCTGTGTTGTTAAATAACAACCAAAGAGATGTTAATAAACTGGAAACTGGTGGATTCTATGACACTGTTAGCGTATCCGGTTTTTTTAATTTTTGACATGGATGACCGATAATATTCTTCGGCTTAGTTGGATTCTATGACACTGTTAGCATATCTAGTTTGTAATTTTTGACATTGGATGGTAAATGATATTTTTTTGAAATGAGTTGGAAGTCGTTATTTATTCGTTAAATATGTCGTTTAACCCATTGTCTCTGATGAAGAGTTTAACATTACAAGACCTAATGTAATAATTCCGTGTTTGGCAGCCAGATTATCTCTATGTTATTGTATTAATTTCTATCACAAGAACGATACCATTAGATACAGCTGTTTATAACAAAATTAAGAAATGTACTTGTATAACTGAACTAAAATAAACGGGAATGTTTCACTGGTATGACTATAAACAATAATTTGAATGACTATAAACGATACATCCATCTTAATATTTTATAGAGTGCTTTAATCTGTCGTTATGTGAAATGTGTGGTGTGGGTTAGGGTTAACCGTAACCCTAAGAAAAGGAAACAATGGAAGCAAATATTGTATCGAATTTCAATTACTTCTATTTCTGCCTAGGACTGTGGGATCGGCTAATCCCTGGGACATTCAGTCAGGCTTTATTGTGGGACTTGGTTTTCTATACATGTACGCGCATTAAAAAAATACATATACAGAAACCCATCTCGACGTGTGGGCATTTAGCAGGCAAATTGTTTCTCTGATCATAATAAATACTTAGTACTAAACCAAAATTGTGAAATTCCCCCAGCTGGCCTCAAGTACAATATTGGAAATACAATTTTGACAGTCTTCGATTTCTATTTACATTCTCCTGCCATAACAAAAGGCTCTTTTAAATTACAGATAAAATAATAGGAAGAGTAATTCTGGGATCTTTCATGTTTGCCAGAGGAAAGGAGTTGGACCATTGGAACGAAATGGTGGCAAATCAAAGAGACCAAGTTACTCAGTGGCATGGGCTAGTGTGACCGTCTGTCTGTGACGCATCTACATAAACTTGAGTGATTGTGTATAAAAACAAAGGCTTGTTTATCTGTATGACACACAGAGACGTGTATAATTGTCTGATACACATAGACTTGTATGATTGTGTATAATACATAAACTTGTATGATTGTCTGAAACACATAAACTTGTATGACTGTCTGGAAAAAATTAGACTTGTATGATACACATGCATTATGTAGGTTTGCCTGAAAAACATAGACTTGTATGATACACAAGACTTGTATGATTGTATGATACACAGATATCTGTATGATGCACAAAGACTTTACTTGTATGATTGTGCATAATACATAGATTTGAATGAATGGCTGATACACATAGACTTGTATGATATACATGGACTTGTAAATTTATGATACATTGTACACAAAGACATATATGGATGTCAAACAGACACAAATTTGTATGATTTTCTGATTGCTGCACACATTGGTTTTTTTCTGTTCGGTAAACATTTGATTTGCAGGACTGTCTGATTGTAACAAATAAGTCGTCTGCTGTACACGGACTTGTATTTTTAATTTGACTGAATGTTTAAGATAACGGTTTGTCTGTCTGTGATATGGATTTATATGGCTGCCTGTTTGTTTAACTAGTGCTGTTGTGTGATTTGAATTCTGTTTAATTTGTGCGTTTGTCTGTTTGTTACACAGGTTATTGGGATAGTTGGACTGACCTACCTTCTTTGTCAGTGTTGAGACTGGTGTGTTTGTCTGTTTGTTACATAGGTTAACAGGAGAGTGGGACTGACCTACTTTTCCTGTCAGTGTTCAGATCGGTGTGTTTGTCTGTCTGTACGAGCTGCTTCATCATTCCATTTGCTGCCTTTTCTTTCAAACAAAAGAACCACTAATTACTAGTATACACAAACATGATTGAACGACTGTCATTGGATTTTTACAGTACACGTTTTCTTCTTTGATTTCATTACAGCAAATGATGCAGCATATAAACTACATTTTCCGTATTAATGACATACGAAACAAACAAATAAGAAACGTCTGGATAGATATATATAATCTTAAGACATTGTAAGCTTTCAATGATGTTCGAATTTCTACCTATCTACAACTATACAAATTTTCGCTTCTTTAAATCACATTATTATGAAAATCTTTTGAAAAAATCAAATATCTACGCTGTTCAAGTTATATGTTTGACTCATTTTAACATAAATTAAGTTTTATTTTCATGATTATTGACAAGTTTGTTTGTATCATCTGTCCTTGAGTGATCTTATTTCTTCATTGTGGTTAGTAGTCATGTTGTAAAAAAAAAAATCATTTTAGATGCATCACCGGTTATTTTTTTTTTTTTTGGCTACTTGTCTGATGCTCATAATTCACAAAATAAAAAATTTCAAACTAAAACTCTATGTTTTTTCATTCGCGATGACGATGGCTTGCACTTGTAGGACATAACGTCTCTTGGATTATGTACAAAGCACAACATCGTTATCCTCTGCATTTAATTTGATGTCACCAACTTGTTTGAAAAGCAAGGGCATGATGTTACATTCTAAAGTTTTTCTTATTGAATTATCCATAGATCGCTCCCGTTTATCCGATAAAGACTGAGGGCTCATCGCAGATTTGATCTTATCAACAGGGGATGTTTACTCCTGCATGGAATCTGATCCCATCACAAATGTTTTCAGGGTTTTGTGTTAAGTATGTTCTAAGTAAGTTAGTTGCTTAATTAGACTTCTGAGCAAGAAAACTGTTCGAATTTTTACATTTGATAACGGAAAAATCAAAAGTATTTTAATGGTAATTCATAGGCGTAGGAAAAAAATTGGAGGTGGGGAAGGGGGGGGGGGGCTAAACCAACAGAAAAGGTAAAACTTAATTTTCAATGATTATATAATGTCTATTTTTGCAAAAAAAAGGTGGGGTATGGGACTATGCCGGATATTTCATACAAACGGGATCTTTTCTTTTTAAAATAATGCATTGGTATAAATCCTTATGTATAGGGGGTAAGATCAGGAACAAAAATTTCCTAGACTAGAATATTCGTTTCAGGGAGCGATGCGCCGGTGATTCATTTCCCGGAGGTTTGGGTTCATCTTATAATTATTAGTAAGTGAATCCAAAAATGTACAATGCATGAAAGTGAATTATTCGATCTGAAAAAATAAGATCCACGTTTTCATTTCTCTGATGTCTTATCACAGTGTAAATTTTATTGCTAATTCAACTGATTTTGAAGAATTTATTTCAAGACTGATCAGAATTACAGATCGGATCTTATAACTGGATGAAGGAATTCCTTATCTTCACTATTTGTAATGTGGTAAATGAAAAATTCCCAGCTACAATGCATTCATTTATCGATGTTCTAGTGAATGCAAACATCATCATATTTTTCCTTTATCAATTCATTGAATTTCAAGCATGCATGGCTTTAGTCTCCGGCAATCACGCGAGACCTGTCATGGCTACTTAGCAAGACAATTGGTAAACAATACTCTGTGTAAATCAAGGGCTAGGTCGTTAATTATGTTTCATCTTATATGTACCTAAAAATGAAAATCAACACGAAATATATATATTTTACTCTTTACTTAACCCTTTTCATTTACATGTAACATTTTGATTTTCGATGTTGAAAATTTATTAATTTGAAATGATTCCGCAAAGACGCACATCCGTAAAATCCCACTCGGACCTAGTAGACTCGGATGTCTCGCGCACTCGACAAGCACGTGAAACAAATGAGTGAGAAGGCACTTTCGGCGGAGAATTGTAGCGATCTGATGCGTATTCCTCCACATATCACATCCGAGGTTAGAATGTAGCGTAGTGGAGTCAGCTGAGGATTGCCGCTCGGTAAAATTTACACATACAAATAATAAGGAATAACATATTAATCGTGTTTTCGGGCAACATTGATTATGTTAGACCTTGGAACGAAAAAATTTGCCCTCCATTTCGCGACGGGCAATATTTTGTCCCTCGGGGGCAAACATAATCAATGTTGCCCTCAACCCAAGTCAATATTTGTATAATATTTTTCTAAACCCAAATATTTTCGTCTGTCATTTGATTTTTTTTTTATTTTGACTCCATGTATACCAACATGATATCTATACATCGAAATGAATTGAGTTTTTTCTTGTTCTTTCTTTCTTTTTTTTTTAATCCATTTTCTCAATTAATTTTACTTGTTGCTGTTCGTTACAAATTAGAGATTATGTGCCATGCTGACCGGCCAAATCTACCGTTGTCTGATCGGGAAATAACGGAAAAATCCGTCGACAATCCAGCGTGAAAACAGAACAAGCTAAATACTATTAGCATTTAACATATTGATAAATTGCAGTAGTTGACAAGGTCGTTGTCTCTACCACAATAGAATTTGTGAAAGGGTGTCTGAATGAGATAGTCGATATTCTTGTTTCATCAACTTGTTTGTCAATAGTTTGCTTCCCTCTTAGAAATTATTCATATTGGACTTTTACGAGAAGCACTGACTTTTACAGTTGACTGTTTACTTGGACATTTAAACCCATTTAAACCTAACCCTAACTCTAACCCTCATCTACGGAGGTACAGAATTGATGTTGGATAAGAAAACCTTTCTAGTGGTCATAGTAATGGTGTTAGGGGCACTTATATGTCAAAGCCTGGATTTGAGTGCAGGATGATTGTCGTTTTCTTCAACGACAACTTATCTGTGCTTTAAAATAGCCCGTTGTTTTCGTGGAATTAAAGGTTGAGCTAACTGTATTTATATCTTAAAAGAGCTTCCATACACTATCCTAGTGTGAGAGTAATTCGTCAACTGTTAAAGTCAGCGCTTCTCGTAAAAGTCCAGTAGGTACACTACTTTTACGTATTAATCAGCAGAGAAACATAAATACCAAATATTTTGACGCAGGTGATGGTATGCGAAATAAGTAAGTGAAGTTGACGACTGCAATGTTGAAGTCATCGCGTTTATTATAAAGTTTATGTTGAACACATGCATTAGGTTACCCTAACCCTACTTTTTCTAGTTAAATATCCAAATATAAAACAGATTGTCAGTTTCTATGGTATTTTTTTTTTCAAGGTAACGGGGATATATCGAGTCGACATATGAAGAATGTAATTATTAATTGACAATTCGTCGTCGATATATTTAATATCGAGATGAGGTTCACAGCAAGTGTCTATTCTTCTCAAACATTATTGAAATCAGAGATTGTCATACACAGAACAGTAAAGTACCAAATGTTGTTTCATTTTCAGCAAATAGTTTTCAAAGCAGAACGATCACTACATGTAAAAAAGGGTAGTTACAATTTCCATTATTAAACATTCATTATGTATGTGTTTTTTTAAATAATGTTAATTTTGTGTGTCACCTACATAGAAGAAAAACAAAGTAACTAAAAATATCATCACTAAAGAATTTTATATATGCTTTCATATTTCTTGTTTTAAAAACATTTTCAGGGACAATTAAGTAAAATCAGAAATAAAGTAAAGAATTGTTTTAAATTCAAATTTAAAGACAACATTTGAATTGGTATTCTATGATATTAATTTAAAAAATATTCACATTGTTAATTCTGCCAATTAAAACTTAAAAAACAATATATTTTGGATTATTCAAAGGTCCAGTTTTGCATAACTTAATTTAATCAGTTCAAATATAAAAGGAAAATTGCTCAATTAATTTAGGGTTGTTTCATTAGAGATAAATTCAAAAAGTAAAACAATTTTTGTGGAAAATAATAAATCTTCATTTTGACACCTTCCCCAAACATCGCACGTGTGTGCACGTGATTTTCTGCGATGTGGGAAGATAAGCGTGTCTGATGCGGAGGGAGGGGGCTGTTTTTGTGGGAGGACGGAGCGCGCGGCTGGACCACTACCTCCTCAGACTCCAGGAGACGGCTGACAACATGGTACGTTTTCAAGGTTTTCTGTGTTAATTAGTTAAACCTGATACTGTACTTCACCAGAAGAGCATCTTAACGAAGCATTTCTTTGTTTACAAACTTTTTCTTCACGTATGGGGTGCTCGCTAGAGCAGACATCATATATCAATAAATATTAACTTAGGAACCTTATAGACATGTAAATAATGAAGTCTAGTAATAACGAAAATAACATTCTAACCGAGTTCTAATTTCGGGGTACATGTATTTATATGCAGTCCTTATATATGTATCTTAAAAAGCAGCTAGTCAAGGATAATATTAAGATTAGGATCCCGACATAGAACTGGCATTGATTACCCAGTGATCGGGGCAGACGACCCCCCGCTGTTTCCCGACACCGTGTCCCGGACACACCTAATAATAGAGCGTTTACTGTTTGTTTAGTATAATCGTCTTCAAAACACACATGTGCACTATCAAAGATCAATTCATGCTTTCAATATAAATACACGGTGTAACCCCCTCCACCCTTCCGAACTAAGAAGGAATTAACTTTGATCAATATAAAATAGTCTAGAGAACTGAAATTGTCAAATAAAATTATGTTCCACACTGTTCGTAGTTAATGCTAAATATGTTATAATTTTATCAAATTACCAAAATTATTGCATGTGCTGAAAAAATAGGTGTTGAATAGAAATAAAACAAAATTAGAGAATATTAAGATTAAAAGAAATATACAAGTAACGTACAATTATTTTTTTTTTTGTCTATCTTGCTTTTAAACCCACAGACAATTTATTTTTGCATGTCTTTTTTAAAAAAACGTAGATTTAGGTCCAATCTTATCATATCATTAGTATGGATTCATATACTAGTATTTCAATGGGATTTGTCTTCCACCTTGCTAGATTAATGCATGATCTATTTCTCATTTTATTTATCGAAATTAAAAACAATTTAATACGTAGTAAATTTCAATTAAATCATCAAAGTTTAAAATTTTTAAAACACAATGAAATGATTTTATTTTTCAAAATACTTTTGAATTTTTACTTCGTTTTGTAACTTAATAAGTACGATCATCTCTACTTAATAGTGATCTAGAATTGAATCTGAAACTGATTCTAAAATTATTTAATATATAACTAACAATATTCCCAGTTTAAATAAGAATTAGTTAAATAGCATTGGGACACAGGAGTCTGAAGTTTTTATCGCATAAAAAGAAAATCCGGAAGGTTTTTTTAGTTGAGGGTAGGAAATTTTTTTTCCTTTCCGGATTTATTTTAACGATAAAAACTTCAGGCTCCTTTGATTGGAGAGAGCTGATCGTCGTACGTCACATTGGAAGGATGTGCACCTTCATCCTTCGTCATTCATTGATAGAGGTGTATCGGGAGTAAGGAGATTATCACCCGTAATGCAGGGCCCTCACACGAGAATTGA